GTTTCTCAACCACTGATAAGATGAGCAATGTAATAGTAAAAAATTTGCAGCTTACCCAACTAGAACCCATGATTAACCCAAAGCCCAATGTACTGTAGGGTTACTTGGGAGCAAATATTTGCATGGGATTCTCAAAAGGCGCTGTATGTTCACAGTGGGATTTTGGCTTGCTCTTAGCCAGATCTCCCTTGGCTATACCCCAGCATGAGGTGAGCTGGGGCACGGGCTGAATTCAAACCACTGTGCCACTGATGGTGTATGTACCTGCATCCCCTGGGTGGGGAGGGCTCTCCACGGCCTGCAATGGTTATGTGCAGGCACAAAAGACTGGGTATACAAAGCGTAACGCGTTGCACTGGCAGTGGTACAAGCATTGCTCTGCTGACTGGGAATAAAAGCCAGGTCGTTGTGCTCAGTGCTCCAAGTAGAGAGACCCGGAGGGAGCCACCCAAAGGGCACCTCCATGCGGTGTTTCTGAGCAGGAGGAGAAAAATGGTGCTGTGGTTTTACCTGCAAACCCTACACGGCTATGGGGCAATGCTTGTCCATTGCACTCTTTTAACACTCAAATGCACCTGGAGTGTTGCACAGGCTGTAGAGTATCTCTCCGAGATTTGAGCACTGAGGCCAGGGAGAAGTGCTTGACTTCTGGAGAGACACCTGATCCTGGGTTACGTCCTGGGCCTTTGTTTCCAGCATTTTCAGGAAGCAGATGCTAAGCCTTCTGTTGCATTCATCCCTATCTGCTCTTTACAAAGGCTTCTTGTTTTCCCAAGCGTTGGGGTTTTTTTCATGTGTCATTTAATTCACACAAACTCCTTCCTCTTCTGACTATTGATCTTGGCTCCTTACTGGTTAAAATAAAGTAAACCTTTCATAAAGAGGTTTTGACAACGAAACTTTTGTTCCTTCCAGACACAATTTCCTGTTTAATTTCCTGACCGTTTCTTATTTAGTAAAGGAAAAGCTGTAAATTGCAAGATTGCTTTCCAGAACTTCCTCTGACTTTAGATGAACTGTTAACCACTTGCAGGAAAAAATTCAGCATAAAACTTAACTTAGAAAAAAATCCTGAATTCTTCTGCACTTCACACCAAAGGGAAACAAGCTGCATAAACCAGAAAAGGGGTTGGAATAATTTGCCTTGCAAAATCAAACAAGAGCAGCTCTGCCTCCAGCTGAGCTAATTACTCTTGCATCACTCAATAAACTGCCTCCAAGATATGGGACTTTGGGAGAGGATTGCTGCAGGGTTTCACCCCTGGGCTGAGGTGGCCGGGAGTGTTGGTGGAGTTTGCACACTCAGCGGTCCTGCTCATGTCATGTCTCTGCCGTGCTGGGGCTGCCATGCTGTCCCATGGGGAGGGCCCGTGTCTGTGCAGCCCCAAAGGCAGGTCCTGCATCCCCTGTATGGATGCTGATTCCCGCTTCCATACCCCTCTTTAAAACCTGGTGGGCACCACCCTGGGCTGCCAGGCTGTGAGCACAGTCAGAGTGACTGGCTGATGGAGCCGACCAAAACGCTTGCTGTGCGCAGAGACTCGTTAGGTTTATTTAATGTGGGCAGCGCAGTGGGGCGTGACGGCGCTGAGGAGTGGTGGGCAGCTCTCATGGCAGGCAGGGTTGATTGCACAGTGACACTTGGCTGGGGCTGTGTGACCTGGTGTAGGAGAGCGACTGCTCTGATCTCTAGCCAGCAAGCCTCAGTCGTGCCTGAAAGAGCCTTGAAATCCAGCAAGGTAGGTGGTACCACAGTCCTGCGGCTCCCAAAAGCACTGACGGACCATGGCTGGGATCACCCGTTTAAACGGCTCATGTGGCTCTCCAAGGGGCACAGCCAGGGTGGGAGAGAGATTTCCTCTGCCTACTTTAAGTAAGATGGATGAAATTAATTGAGATGGGAATTCCACTTTTGGAAACATTTCCATTTGGTTTCCTTACTTGGAATGGCTCTGTTTGAATTTATCTTTGCCTAGAAATAGGAGATGAAATGATTGTTCCAGCAAGGATGCCCAGGTAGGGTGCATCAGGGAGGACCCCTTTTGGGATCACAGAGCCCCATCCTGCATGACAGAAAATACTATTTCCTACAGCCAGTGCTTGGGAACTGATAGAAAATGGCTTCAAGGAGCCATCCCTTAGCCTGGCAGCAGACGTTCAAGGTACAACCATAAGCAGCATTCTTGCTTGATGCAGTGACACCAGTACAGAGGCTGCTGCTCGCTGCCAGCCAGAGAGACGAGATGGTCAGCAGCCGAGGAGCTGCTCTTGCCGTCAGGGCAGGGGGGCTGATGGGGTGGGGAAAGTCCAGGGCTGCTGGCAGCTGAATCACAGAGAATCAAAATTAGCTCTTGGACACATGGTGGAAACGTGGTGTAGGACCAGGGGCTGCCAGTGGGGTGAACTGCTGCAACGGTGCCTGCTGGTTCCCCCGGTGCTTCCTGGCAGCTGCTGTTTGAGCCCCCTGGGAAAAGGAAAAACAAATCTTGCTACAGAAACCAAGAAACAGCACAGCTTGGTGATGGAGGTATTAAGCTTTTGGGGGTCTTTATTTCTGGGAGGACAGTGTGGGCTTCAGCTGCCCATAAGCGCTGAGGGCAAGCAGAGGGGCTGGGAAAGCACCCAGTGCAACCCAGTGCTGGGTTTCTCATATGGCCCCATGCAAATTGAAGCCAAGGCAGGCAATGCGTGATCCAGCAAGACAGCACAGCACTGCTTTCTCCACACAAAACCAAAACCGAGACACCCCCCGCACTCCCCCGGAGCCGGGAGGGTGGCTGAGGCCCAGAGACAGCTCTGCTGGAATGTACCATCATGGCAACGCAGCCTGAGCAGGAGCAGCAGCACCTCCGCTAGATGCAAGTGGTGAAGGTGAGAGGGAAGGAGGGCCATCCAGGCACACACAGGGAACCCCATGGACTCAGCTCAGCCACTTCCTTACCCTCTTGCCGAGTACTAAAATAAACTAAATTCCCACCTGGCTCCATCCTCTCCATGGCAGACATTTAAGAATGGGGGGGTGGGGGGTGTGGCAGGAGCAGGAAGTGTCACTCCTCAGGGACCCACATGCTGTCAGGGGAACATGCATGTCCTGGAGAGCCTGGTGCAGGGGACCCTCCTCCCTGTGTTCTTGTATTTGTGCTTGTATTGCAGGGAGAGGCACTGTGTGTGTAAAACACACCGCAGCCCCCCCATCACACCGTAATTCCCAAACACACAGGCTCCTGTTTGGAGACTTCAGTTAGATGTTCATGGGAAGAGGGCAGGAAGGGCTCCTGGGGTGAATATATCCTGTGAAACTGCTGTGTTTCCAGGTTGAGGCCATGCTGTGTTTGAACAAATGCTTCCTTACTAGTCAAATGGGAAGGTGAGCACAGAGGAGGATCCTTTCGCAGTGCACCAAGCTAAAGCAGTGATTTACAACCTGTTTTGACCTGTGCATGCCAAATTTTTCCCCAGCTACACTACCCATAAAAGCCAGCCTGTTTGCATACACTATTTCATCCAATGTCCCCCCTTCCCCATCTATTTCTGGCTTTGCAATTATACAGCTAAAGAACATAAACATATCCTGGGCAGACAGTAAAAACCTTGTTAGGAAACTCCAGGTCCCTTTGCGCCTTTCGCTCCATATCCCAGAACTGCAAGGGGAGAGAAGCAGCTGCTGCATGAGGCTTGGGGCAATGGACAGCTGGTGTGGGACAGCTGGTGTGTGGCTCCAGCAACCACCACCCTGGGTACCAGCTCTCCCCAGTGATATGTTTTGTTTGCCCTCCAGGGAATTGGGGTTTTCGGTATTTTGCCACCTGCAGTTCTTTTAACTGACAATGGCAGAGCTGGGTCAGCACTTCACATCCCATCCCCACACTTCAGATTCAGGGCTAGAGAGGAAAAGTCATAAACCACTCAGCAAAGCTTTGTACCGGAGCCCCAGCCCTGTTTTGCCAGGTCTCAGGGGCACCTGAGTGAACCATAAGACCCTCCCAAGTCCTGAATCTTGGACATTTTTCACCTTCCAGATTTCATGGCAATCCATGCTCGGGTACCACAGGCAGGTTTTAGGTTTTTCACCCCCAGGTCTGGTTTCATCACTGTGTGCATTAGGAACGTGCCAGCTATGGCTGAGGGTTGAGCTGAGCTTACCTGGGCAGCTGAAGTTTGGAAGTGTCACACTTTGGAGCACCCTGCAGCTGGCAGAGCATGTTGTTGATACCATTTTGGGCTGCGCTTCCTAGGGATTTTTATTTTTAAAGCAGATTAAAATACAAACCCATCTTCATTAGTGACAGGTTGACTTTCACAGAGCTGCCCTATGGAACAGAACCCTGCTGACCCATTGCACTGGAGCTGGCTGGGACCTCAGCTGAGCCAACTTGCCCGTATCTGTCCCTGGAGCCCAGTGCAGGCAGTGGGGAGGGCGTTTTTCCACAGGGCTTCACCGATCCATGCTGACCGCTGGGGAATGCCAGAGCCAAGGTAGCTCAGTTTTGCAGCTGCCCCAGAGGCTGTGTCTTCCAGAGGTCACATCCCTGAATCCATGTGCCTTTCCACATTATGTCTTTTCTGCCCTAGCTCCTTGACCTAGCTCCACAGCAGCTTTCCTGTCCTTCTGCCTCTGCAACAGGCTCAGCAAATCCCAAAGCTCACCTGGCAGATGCCAGTGCAGCCTGGGCTCCTCAGACCTGAGCCCAGTTTCCTAGATTCCCTAGCCCAGAGCAGCATCACTGGGTACCTCCTTATCTCAGTTTATTGCCTGGGAGGGCACTAGTTTCCCTTTTCCCTGGCTGCTCTCCCTCCCTTCCTACTGCCTTATTCTCTCTTGCAAGCCGCCACATCTCGTCCAGCCTGGCCCCTGTCCTCCTAGGATGCTGGCACAAGAGAAAACCAGTGATTCACCAGCATTTAGGTCCTCTCTTTGTCCTGGACAGGGACAGATCTCCCAGGAATGCCTCCATAGGATCTCCAGCAAGGTCCCTTGCACCCTTTTACAGGCTCCTCTCCTGGAAATGAAGTGCCTGGGACAAGAAATCTGACCTGCACACATGGAAAAGAGATGCTTGGGAGAGCTGAAGCAGCACCAGACTCCCCGATGCCCAGACACACCACTATGGGGGACCCCAGGGCAACCAGCCCCCCATGGCTCAGCATCTTCCCCCAGGGCTCAGCCTAGCTGTGGGGCACTGCGCTGGTGGCGTTCCACTCCATGCTGGGGACTAAATCCAAAACATCTTTAAGTAGGTGATTGCAAGAGGGCAGGCGCGGCCCCTGCCATCGGCCCATTTAAGGCAGGAGATGGTCTCTAGGCACAGAAAAATTCAGCAGCTGGAGCTCCACCAGCCTCCCCCTGGAAAACATTCCTGTGGAGGGAGGGTTCAGCTCCAGGGTCACTAGGGAGGGCTGGGGGATCACTTGACAGAAATGAAGCCCAAGCATCCAGAGCTGTGCTCACAGGCAGCTCCATCTGTACCACTGCCCCAGGCACATGGAGGGACCCAGCTCCATTGCAGCAGCCTGGGATACACAGCACAACCTTTGCAGGCACCACTCGCTGCAGAGGCACGGTGAGGAGGACAGAGCCCGCACTGCAAGGCAGCCTGCAAAGCTGCTGGTGCCATCACAGACCTACAGCTGGAACAGCCCTGTCCCCCATGAGGTGACGCGGGTGGGATGCAGGGGAAAAGCCCCAGCCAAGGGCATGGAGCAGTGCAGGAGCTGCCCTCATCCGTGCAGCCTCAGGCAAGCTCAAACCCTAAGCAGGGTGTGCTGTTTCATTATTTCAAAGACTACGTCTGTGGCACAAGTGATATACCCACCCTGAGAAGAAGCAGACACACCTGGAGGCAGCTCTGAGCCCTTGGGGAGGGTACCATGCCATGCACAGTTTGATACTCAAATATCTCCAGTGGAGGTCTACATCAGTCACAGCTATTTCAGTCGTGGCCTGTCACCTTTTCCAACCTTCCTTCCAAACAGCTTTAGAAGTGTATTCAAACATTCAGAGCCTGGCAGACGCTAAACAGATCCTCAGTGGGGTCTCCTTGCAAAGGGCAGGGGACAGCCAAGCCAACATACACAGAGCTTGTAGTGCCATAGAATCCAGCTCCTCATTCCTACATTTCAGCAGAGGGGCTCAAAGCACTCACCATCTTACAGCCTCTCCAGAGGCCAGTGGCACCTGGGGACACCTAATTGTGAGGTGAGGGAGGTCGTCATGTGCGGACTCCAGAGCGGAAATTAAGATGTGCTCACAAACGGCTTTTGCATCCTTGACCTTAGATACTGCTCATCCCTGCCAGGAGAGCCCCATCGGCCACATAGCCCCAGGAGGGCTGAGGAGTGACTCCACAGTGCACATTCCCCTCTGACTGGCAGGAACGGATGGTGATGTGGCGAGTCCCGTGGCTGGTCCCGCTAGGGCTGTTGTGCTGGCAGGCAAGTCAGTCCCCTGCAGGCAAAGTCTGGGCCACCCAGGCAGGGCTGAGCTGCCCTTTGGACTGTGGGCAATGCGCTCACGCTGTGACAGCACACAGTGTGCCGTCTCGTGGGGTTACAGTGCCAGTGCTGCAGCGGCAGCTGCTCCACACCAGAGCCCATTGGGGTCTCCCAAGTACCAAGTGGGTGCCAGGCCCATAGGTCTTGGCACTGCATCAGCACTGCCAAGGGTGTGGAGCCAGCACCAGGGTGATCCCCTTGTCTGGTGGCTGAGCACCCCATGGGGGGCTACGGCTCCTATGCTGGCATCTCCCAGAAGGGCTTTGCTTTGCCATGGCTGACATCACGCAGCACAGCTTGGGGATGCTGAGAGTCATGGACCAGCAGCAGTCTCTGGCCTCTCTCTGCCTTCAAGGGGGACTTTGGTGGCCACAGCAGAGGAGATTTCAGGGAACACAAGAAGCACCCCTTGTCTCTGTTCTCTCCCCCTCCACTGGAGTTTCCAGATGGACTTGACCATGTGGAGCATCATGTCCCAGCCCCAGCCCAGCTGCTGTTCCTGGTCCCTAATGCATCATGGCTGTGCACAAGAGCACAGCATTGCCCTGCTCCTGCCTGTGGGATGTGATGTCCCTTCACTTTGGCGGCCATGGCACTTCTCATGCTGCCCTCCAGACTTTTCTCTTGCAGGCCCCTGCTTTACTTTGCAGCTTTGGGAGAATGACAGTTTGTTCAAAATCTTGAGTTCCCAGATCCTGGCTTTCAAGGCAATGCCAGCAATTGCAGGAGCTAGCAGCATTCCCTGTCCCTGTAGGCACCAGCTTGCGTCCACAAAGGCACGCACACTGCTCTGTGCAAAGTGAGGGGATTGGAACTTGTAGGTAGGGCAGCTAAAACTGGGTCCCGCTCCATCCTGGCTTGGAGGCAATGATATGGGACAGGAAGATGGCACTTTTTAGATGTGGCTCAGCCTGAGGCCCCTCTGAAGGCACACCATTAGTGTGGGAGTTACCTGCTCCTCTGCACGTACCTGGAGGAGGTGAGGTCCTGCTTGGAGAGTCCCATGCAGCAGGCACTGGCTGGCTCCTGTCCTAGCGAAGGGAAATATGTGAGGCCTGTGGGAATAAAACAACCACCAGCTCTTTTGCCGGCTCCCACTGTGACGGGATGGCCACGAACACCCCTCCCTGAAGCACAAACAGGGCAGTGTTTGGAGCTGCTCTACCCCCTGCTGAGGCCTCTCAGGTGAGGCCAAAATAAGCAACTCCTCTGCAGCGAGCACCTCTCCAAGGCTGGGAAGGCTCTGACCTGAACACAAACACACACACACAAACACACACACACACAAACACACACACACACTTAGGGAAAATGCCTCTTGCCCCTGCAAATCACCCCCTCCCCCATCCCATTTTGTTCCCCAGTCCTGTTGCTGCATGCTAGCTCCGTCCCTATGGTGAGGGGATGATGAGTGCACCAGATGGGTGTCCATGGAGAGGTGCTACTCAGCCACTGCGCAACCATGAATTTTCCTTTGCCTCCTCCACTTCTTGAGAGTGCCAGCAGGCTTGGGGAGCAGAGCAGGACTGAGCTGTGAGCAGGCAGGAGCTGCAGGGGAAAGGTGACCCGTGCTTGTAGCATCACACCCACATTCCCCAGCATGGGTGCTGGAGCCTGGTTTGGCCAGGAAAGCAGGTACCTCGCTGGGCTGGAACAGGGAGTGGGGCTTGGGCCATGGTCTGGGGTTACTCACTGAGCAGTGAGGACAGACACACACACGCACAGGGAGTTCCAGGCCAAATCCCACCAACTGGCCGTGCCCTTCTTGACGGCCGCTTAAGGATGGCACATTAGGGCTGCAAAGACGGTCCTCCGGGAGAGCCCCTTGCCACGGTGCGAGGGCACAGCTGCTGCCGGGACCACGGCAGGGACTCACAGCCCAAACCAGGAAGGAGGAGCATCCTTCCTTCCATGGGCTGGCAGCACCTCCTGCAGGTGCCCACCCAGCTGTTTGGGGTGCGGGGAGGGGGACACAGGCAGGAGCGAGGCAGCCGCAGGAGCACTTCCAGGCAGAATCCTGCGCGCAGGGTGAGGGCTGTGGCATTCAGGATGGCCAGATCCTGGCACGGAGCCGGGGTCTCCACAGAACCCCCCAGAGCTGGCTGCGGGGAAGAGCCTGCTTGCCTGGCGAGGGGAGTGCAGCCGCGGGGTGCCTGACAGTGCCCAGCGCTGCTGCTCCCTCCTCATCCCTCCTGCCCCGGGCCCCGGCCGCATCCGCGCACGGCGCCGTCTGCTGGGACCTCCCGCCGGCTGGTGGCGGCCCAGAGCGCCCGGCGTCCCTTGCGTCGCGGCCGGGGCGAGGCGGAGGCGGTGAGAGCGGGCGGGGGCCGGAGAAGGGGGTGCGTGTGTGTGGCGGCGGAGCCCCTCACATCCGCCCTCCCCGCCCGCCCCGGGGAGATGGAGCCGGTTGCCGGGCGGCGGTGGCAGAAGGTGCTGTACGAGCGGCAGCCCTTCCCGGATAACTACGTGGACCAGCGGTTCCTGGAGGAGCTGCAGAAGAACGTGCACGCCCGGCGGTACCGGTACCAGGCCGTCGTCTTCCAGTCGGGAGTGGTGGCGCAGCAGCTGTGCAGCGTCTGCGTCTTCGTCGTCACCTGGTGGTACATGGACGCTGGGGTGCTGAGCCCGCAGGGGCTTTTCGGGGTGGCCCTGGTCTCCTCCCTGCTCGGCTATGTCCTCTTTGATGCCGTGGACGGCGGGGCTGGGCGGTGGGAAAGCGGGAGGACACGGTGGGCTGACCTCAAGAGCACACTGGTGTTCACTGCTTTCACCTATGGCTTCTCTCCGGTGCTGAAGACGCTTACCGAGTCCATCAGCACTGACACTATCTATGCCATGTCAGCTCTCATGCTCCTTGGTCACCTCATCTTCTTTGACTATGGTGCCAATGCTGCCATTGTCTCCAGCACGCTGTCCCTCAACATGGCCATCTTTGCATCCGTGTGCCTGGCTTCCCGCCTGCCACGCTCCCTCCATGCCTTTGTCATGGTCACCTTTGCCATGCAGATCTTCGCCCTCTGGCCCATGCTGCAGAAGAAGCTGAAAGCCCTGACGCCTCGATGCTATGTGGGGGTGACAGTGCTCTTTGCGCTGGCAGCACTGGCAGGGCTGGCCACCATCTCCACTGTGGGCGCCGTGCTCTTCACCTCACTGCTGCTGGCCATCTGTGGCCTCTGCCCTTACTGCCTCATCCGCCTTCAGCTGCTCAAGGACAACATCCATGGGCCATGGGACGAGGCTGAAATCAAGGAGGACCTTTCCAAGTTCCTCATGTAGGTCCCAGGGGGACCCTCTGCTGGGAGCAGTGCAAAGGTCCTTGCTGGGGGACAGCCGTGTGGGAGGAGGACACCTGTCCCAATAAAGCCTCTCACCCAGTGAGGACCACGTTTGTGTTACCCTCAGCATCTGTTTCCAGACATGACCTGCTTGGTTTTGGCAAAGGAAGTAGTTGAACCCCGCAGAGCAGGCAGCCCGTGCAGGAGCTCAGAAGCAGGCCAGCGAGGCAAGGTGTGCTCCAGCCATGCAGACCTATACTTGTGCTTGGTGGGAGTGGGCGTAGAGAGGGTGTGGGCATCCTCTGAGCAGACATGCCACTCAGAAACATTCATCTGACCCAGATATGCCCTGCAGAATGCCCATGGAAGTCCTCAGCCCCAGGAACCTTGACTTGTGTGATGGCGACTGGTAGTGCTTCCCTGGGAGGGCTGAAGCAGAAGGGAGTTGGGTAAAGATTGCTGTGGGCAGAGCAGAGGTGCAGGGTGGTGAGTGCTGCTGGACCTGCAGGCCTGAGCACGAGGGCGTTGGGATGGGTGGGTTCTGATGCCAGAATAGCCTCACAACACTGCCAGAGACCACATTAACCTAAACCCTTTAGAAGAGTGAGGTGTGAGGCGTCTTCCTGCCCTAACCCCCTCCCAGAGGTGGATCTGGTCTTGCTGCAGAGCCATACTCCAAGACAAAGGGATGGAGCTCAGTGCACGCCCCTGCGGATGCACCCACCGGCTGCATGCCAGGCTCCTTAGGACGCTGACGGGGCCCATTGCGGTCCGGTCCAGCACCGCCTGTTCAGCAGCACACACACCACAACAGAGGGCGCTCCAGGCAAACAAGTCCCGCTGGAGCTGGAGAGGCCCGGCCAACTTCCTGGAGCTTCCCTTTCCCTGCTCCCATCAGGGACAGTCCCTTGGCTGATGGGTCCAGGTCCGGCCGCAGCCAGCACCGCGAGCGAGGCAGGGTGCACACGCTTGCCCCAGCCCCACCACGCAAGGGTGCATTTGGCATTACCCGGGTTTCTGTGAAACCTCTCTTGGAGAAGCACCGCTCTGATTTACCCCATCCCTCAGCACTGGCGTCTCACCTCAGGCAGCGGTACTCCTTGGGCTTTCTCGGAAATGAGCAGTCCCCAGAGGAGTCCCCAGCACCTCCAGTGCTTTGTTACGGCTCCTGCCAAGTGTTACGGTGACGACTACATCTCGCTTTGGTTTTAATTAAAACCTGTGGAAGTTTAGAGCCTGTGCTCCAGTCTCACAGGGAGCACAGAGCAGCCAGGTGCTCACAGTCCAGATGACATGTTCTAGTTCTGTGGAAAGAAAACTCTGTTTTCACAAGGTTTCCTGGGAAGCTGCTCAGTGACTGGGCTGTCTATCTCACACTAATGCCACTGTAACATCACAATCCAAAAGCGATTCACGGAGCTCACTGGTAGGGCAAGGCTGAAGTGTAAACCAAAAGTAAATCAGATCTAGCCTGCCTGGTGCCTGTTGTTACTGTCTGTCACAATAGAGACTAGAAGAAAGCAGAGTTTCTGCTGCACCCATTCCCCCAGGGGGAAATATTTTTCCCAAAAATATTCTTCCCAAAATCAGACTCTCAAAACCAGCTCTGGGTTAGGACATTCAACTACCTGGACATTCCAGGTGGAGAAGGGCACAACTGCCACCATCACCTCAGCCACAGCTGGAGCCCAGTGGATCAGCTGAGCAGATTCCTGCACTTTGATTGATGCAGCAGGCCCTGTGTGCCCAGCTCCAGGCAGGATGCAGGATGTGTTCTGTCCAGCCCACCACAGACAGTTCCATCCCTGCCTACAGCCCCAGGCCTCTTTGCTCTGTGCAGGTCCTTCCCTTCACATTCTCCTTAGCCTCATTCCTTGCCCAGAGATCCCTGGGGAAAGGCTTTGACCTATTTAGCTTGCCCACACAGATACTCTGCTCTCCCTAACCTGGGGGATGAAAATATAAAACCCAGTCCATGGCTTGAATGCACAAAGGGACCTAGAAGGAGGGTAAGATGCCAGAGAGAGCCAGGGCCAGGAGAGGAGGGGACAAGAAGGCCAGGCAGAGTTTCGCCTAGGACTTCTCTGACCTTTGCCTGGGGACACATATTCTGCAATGCTGCTGAACTTATTTACAATGCTGAATAAGTGGCCATTACGAGTATGTCTTCATGCCTGAGCTTAGAATATTCTCTCGAACAAAACTTGGCCATAACTCTATGCCCAGCTCAGCGGTAAAGCTGGATGTCTTTTGCGCATTCGCTACCTGAGCCTAACATTTTGGGGTTTCTCTGTTGAAGCAGACACTGAGACCAAAGAAATAGGTCCTTCTCAGTTTGTATGCAACCAGCTCATCATCAACCACCTCCAAAGAGTTAAATATTATGCATTATAAGGAAGTGCATTTTCTGTCTCTTAAGTTTCCAAGTCCACTGAGATTGAGTACTTCAAGGGGACATTTTCTTTAGATTTAAGTTGGCCAAATGTGAGTAATTATAAATTGGCTGGGGATAAGCTTTGCTCCTGGGGGAGCCACTGACACGTGTTGTCTGGAATCTCCATCTACAGCCACTGCTGCAGGGAAAGACAAGCATCAGCCAACCACAGTGTGCTGTCGAGGGCCTGTGTCCCTACCAACACGGGAGACTGGATCTGGGAAACCTGGAAAGAGTGAAGCTTTAGTCTTTGAAGGTAAGCCCTTTGCATCTCTTCAGTCTCACAGTAATCACTAAGCTTTTCTCAGCTTTTTGATGCAAGAGGCAAGAGCAATGACATGAATGATCAGGAAAGCAAAATAGGATTTTGGTCTTAACCCATCCACTGAAAAGCAACCCAGGATGCATAATGCCACCAGCTGGTGGGGCTGCCTTACCCTTCTCTCCCTTGCCACAGAACATACACCATTGCAGGGTGGAAATAGCACAGACAAGGTTAAACAGCTTCTACAAAAAGTCATTCCATGAGCTGGTGCTAAAGAACGTGCCAGGTTTCCCAGCACACCAATACCTTTTTCTTTCCACTTACTAGATTTTAGGAATAGCTACCAGAAAATCATGAAGTTTGTAGTCCTATTTCCAACAATACTTTTTGTCAAATACTTCAGAAGAAGGTAAAGATTTCTGTGAAAGGTTTAATGCTATTAAATACCCCAAGAAAGAAGTTTGTGCCTTACAGCCTAATGCATGGAGGCCAGCTGGCAGCTAGGAAGGCAGCAGCAGCTCCCAGTTGGGATGCTGTAGGTAATGCCATACAACTAAAACATCAGAAACCTTTTGTTGTTGGTTCATCTGATGTCCCAGAGCGAATACAGTGAGAGCTTCCCCCAGTGTGGAACAGATTTTTCTAACAACCTGGAGAAAAAGCAACTTGTGAAATCCAGCCTATTCCCATTCCCTCTTACCTGAGAGGTGAAGCACAGCCAGAACCTCCTTAAGAGCTCCCTAGCTACAAACACTGTCACTTCTAAAGTAGTCCTGAACAGACACAGTTCCTGAAATCTGCTGAGGTGGTTTTGCCTCTACCCGACAGCAACGAGTTCCACAGTTGAGCAATGTAGCCAGCCTGAGCTTCCCTCTTCATCTCCTACTCTTAGGACAGTTGTGTTCATGTGACTGCTAGGAGCCTGCATTTCTCCCTTTGGCCAGGGTGCTGGGAAGCACCTTGTGCATTATTATACTCTTTCCAGCTCCAGTAATTCCTACTTTAGCACATATAGTTCAAGGGTCTAGCAGGAATGAATATTTACCTCCCTCTCCTAAGAATTGCTGTACTTGGGGTACTCCCCACTTACTGCTAACACCATTGTTGTTTCTTCTGTTGTAGTCTACCAAAAGACAAAGTCTGAGTAAGAAGAATACAAAAATCTGTCTACAGCTCCTTATAATTTGAGCAAACTCAGTGTCCTGTATTTACCATACAGGTAGTTCAGCAACTCCCTGGACATCTAAGAGGTCAGCAGGGATGTAAATCAGCTGGAACGAGGAATTGCCCAGATTCAGCAAAGCTGTGTCAGAGCTGGCTTGAAATTGAGTACAGCCTGTGTGTTGTCAGGCCCCTGTTACATACACAATGCTGATCTCTACTCTTCCTGCCACCATCCTCTAAGTAGCACCACTGCAGCTCTCTCTCCCTATGAACTTCATACGACAAAGGTAGGTCTTGTTTGTGCTCCTGAAACAGCAGGTTGGAGTCCTGATGCTGTATTGTGCCTCCAGGTCCTTTGTAGTGCCTCAATTAACATGAATCGTTTGTGAGAATTGTTTTCATGTGAGAAAAAAGTCGATAAAACCCATCAGTTTTCCATTTTTTTAGACTTCTCATATAGTTCTCTGGCACCCAAACAAGCACTTCTTCTGAATGTTAAATCCCAGAATTTATCTTTCCCATAGGGACAAACATGCAGAATCCCAGAGCTGCTTACAGCTATTTGAGCTCAGATGCTCCACTGAGCTCAGCTTGCAAGGAATTCAGAGGTTTAACTTGGAAAAAACAATTGGTCAGAGCAGCTGTGACTTATTTATAAATGTGTGGATTTATCAGCCTGGAAATTGCTGCAGTCTTCTCCTTTGACTTGCTACTCAGCCAGGTGCTGCCGCTGGTGTATTAGACATGTTTTAAGACTGTTGTTGTTAAAGCAGCTGGCTATTCTTCCTGCTAACACTAAGCCAAAGCCATTTATATGGAACAGTCCTGGTGGTTAATGAATTCAGAAGCAGTGGTGGAATCCCAGCAGAACATCCCCCTCCATCACATCGGAGAGTGGGACTCTCCACAGAGCCCAGGCAATTTCTTCTGTGGGGTGTGAATGGCTGCATCTGAGAAAGAGTGGACAAACCCTTCAATGGAAAACCAGTGCACATTCATTTTGTAGTCAGAATTTTTATTTTCTTTATATCCAGGCTTGTCACTGACATCTGAAAATAAAATTTGTCATTTACAAACAGGCCAGTGCAAATTAAAAATAATTTTGTTCAATTTAAAGAAAAAAAAAAGAAAAAAAAGATTGCACAAATTGTGTTAAGATGATCTTCCTGGAACAGCTGGTGGAGGTCGCCTAGGAAAAAGACATAAATTAACCCCAAATTCACGGGAGGTGGGAAGTGGCAGAGAAGAGATTTTAGGTCAAGATACAATAAAATGACTCATATAGAAGATTATCTTAATAAAATGGATTAAAAGGCACAGAACATGCACATTAAGGAAAAGAGCAAGAGCAAGATTAGAATCAGCTGGCTATCAGCACTGCCTCAGCTTTCATCCTCACTGCTTCCCAGCTGACTCACTGGCGCCAGAGAAATGGGACAATTCACATCACGAGTGTAGAGGTCGCTGGTCACAGGCTTTCTAATTTTCTTGCAGCAAGTAATACCCTCTGGAAAAGCTTTTCCCTGGTCAACCTTAACATTTGCACCACTATCTGCTTCCAACACTGTTCTTGGAGTAGACCTTTTCTAAGTGAGATTCTGATGAAATCAGGAATCATCAAACAAGATGGCCCGTGGGCTGGATTGGGGTATCTGGGGGGGACACTGCTGGGAAAGGTTAAAAACATGGGTGATAGCAATGCAATGATCTACTGCCAACCCTGTCAGGAGAGATCCTTGGCAGTTTTTGGCCCAGTGCAGCAGTTAAAGGAGAGTGAATACTCCTCCTGTTACCCAGCTTAGAGCACTGACATGTTGCTGACCAACATACCAAACTTGTACATACAGAGTATGTAATGTACTCCAGACACACAGGACATGTCTGACTGCTGTTCACTGAGGGGGTTTGCAGAGACTACCTCAGGCATAGCCATTAATGACTATTAAAAAATAATCTTCAAATGTTACCACAAGTTATAGGAAGCAAGTGAATACAATGGGATATTTGCTGCTTTGTTGATCCCACCTTTTGCATCCCCTTTCCCAAAACCTAAGGACCAGTGACTGTTGTGCTCAGTGAAAAATGTCCTCTCCAACAGGAAGCTGTTGTGCTTCTTGTGCAATACAGACCATCTCCTGCAAGCACCAACTCCAGTTACTTGGCTCATACTGTTCTGAAGGAGGAACTGAGTAACCAAGACATCTACACATTCATACACAACCACTTTAAGGGGAAATCCCTTCCAGACATAACATGTACACATGCACATTTTTACTCCAGCTCTTGCTCTGAAGGACTTAGTCTGGCCTTCTCCTCAGCTCTGAATCTCCCCAAAACATGCTTTTCCCAGCAATGAAATGGATACCAGGTACTACTTGCAAAACATTCATCCATTTCCCAGCAAAATGTCTCTGCAGTACTCCAAGCCCCTTGCAGGGCAGTGGGCTGAATGCTTCCCATGGGTTATATACCTCCCTCTCCCCTTTTAATGACATGTCCAGTGATCTCAATACAACACGCATCTCTGATAGGCAGTCCTCACTGCAGACCCAACAGAGGCAGGGTGTGGCATGCCGAGATGTTAGTGTGAGAGACCGAAGACCACTCATGCACATCCCAAAAGTAATAATAAAAGCCCATCAAGAGTTACAGTTTATTTCAGGTTCAGAAATGCAGCTTAACATTTTTACAGCAGGGTATGTGATGGTCAATAATGACCATGAGTTCAGGAATCAACTTGTGCCCAAAGGTCAACACCAGGAACCATTTACAGATTATGAAACCAAAGGTGGATGTTTTTGGCTCACGTTAAGTAGGGCATTAACATACAGAGCAAAATTCAGAAAGAAATTGAGCATTTGCTTCTTACAAAAAGCAGTCATCGTTTACACCATCCTGGAAAAGTAAAGAGCCAGGCAGTAAAGCAAATGGCCAGCAAGACGGGACAAATCATATATCAAGCAAGAGTGGAGGACTGTCTGGACGGGAGGAGCCATCGGTATCACCTCGCCTGCAGACAAAGCAAGAGGAAAGACAGGCAGAGTAACATTCATTTACACAAGGGAGCTGTTCTGCTAGAGCCTGGGGAGGAGGTTCAATGCCACAGCAGGAGGAACCGTGCCGTGAGCACACAGAGAGACTGGACACCTCCCCAGTGTCACAGATACAAAATAGGTCTGCTTTCAATTCAGGAGGTTTGTACTATTGTAACACAGAAAGACAGAACAAGCCAGTAATCCCAATATGCTGTATACACATTGTTTAGTGTAGCTAACTGCAATACAGTATTTTCTATGTTATACTTTAACACAAGATGCCATAACCTATAATATATCTCCTTTAATATAATAAATAATCTACTTCTATGAGGCTTACTCAGAAAGTGCAACAAGATCAGGAATAAAATAAACACATTAACTATGTACATAAGCCTTTTCATTGAACATACAATCTTTTTAATCCTACCGGAAGATCCCTTGAGATCAAAGGCCAAGAGCTATTTACCGCATGTACAAGCTCTTCAGCTGTTGGTCAGCCATGATGAGGTAAGGTGGAACATGTTCTCCAGGCAGAGACCCAGGCTTAGCCTAAATGCAATACTAGATGAGCACTCTCCTGAAACTTAGCTATGTACATCACCTGCCTAATTACGTACCTCATGTAAGATCCTGCTGTTGCTTAACAGGAGTCTTCTGAGCTTTGCCAGGGGGAAGCAAAGAAAGGGAGAGCAACCCATGCTTCTCAGATATGGGAGTTCAGGCTTAGCTCACCCTGCGTAAGGGGGCCTGCAGAGGGGGCAGTGGCCAGTCTGAGGTAGCCAGTCCCTCTAGCAGACCCACACGGTGCTTGTCCTGCTGTCCTTTGGGCATGGAGCAAGTGCTGCCAAGGCTGCTCTGAGAACAAGGGACGGGAGACACATTGCCAGCATGAAGAGGGAGAGGAACAAACCAAACCCTTCCAGAAGGAAATGGGCTGAGGCTGGGAGGACAGTACTTATTCAACTGGATGGGGCAATTTCTTGGGAATCAGTATTTTTCCTAGAAAAAAACAGTTCTGTGTAGTTTATTCTGAAAAGCGTATATGCAAGAAGTTAGAGGTAAAATCATCAAACTGTGGATCTGTGCTCAAGGTAAATTACTAACTTGCACACCTAAAAGTATTGCATTAGGGGCACAGGGCCAGATTTAGGTGTGATCTGAATAAGGATGCAAAGGAAGGGAGGGCTGTGCAGCTGTGTCCCACAGCCTCAACATCAGGTGCAGAACCAGATGGTGGTGATGGTGGGGCCACAGGCACCTCACTGCCTCCTTCGGATGTGAATCCACCCTTGAAAGTTTCTTTTACAAGTCAGGATTACTGCTGAGAAATACAATTTCCTCGGGGGCAGAGTTAAGAATAGTGCTGAATTGTGCCACCTACTTCATTATGCTTGTCAGAAAGAGTCATCAAAGTAAATTAAGGAGTCTCAAGTACAGAAGATTTTTAGGCCAGGATCTGTGCCATCTAACTGAGGCTCCTAACTCACCAACATTCCCATCCTCATCTCCAGTGCAGCCACACCTATCTGAATCACTTCTGGAGGTGATGCCTCTTTCCACTGTACAAAGGGGATCTTGGACAACTAAATTGAGTGCCTGGGGTATGGGTGGGATAAACCCAGACCATGGCCTTGCAGTATCACTGAATGAATATCAAAATTTGGGGTTAAAATGACTTTCTGTGGCTGTGGCACTAAGCCTGGCTTTCTGTCAGCAGGTAGCTGCCTGTCAGTAACAGAGAGTTCTGATAAACTATATACAGGGTTGCTGGCTAGACAACAGCAGGAACTACTATAATTATTTATAAAAATACATCTAATAGATGCACTGCTTGTTACAGCAGACTGCTACACAGCAGAAAACTGTGTAGAAGGCAAGAAAAATATGGGGGGATGTGTATTTGGTAGTAAAAGTCAATAGGTTTGCAACTGTAGTTGGGTTTGCAACCTTTCTTTCTTTGAAAGCTGATTCTGTGTGATTGGGTGTTGGTGATGTGGGTCTGTTCTCCAAACAAACACAAGCCACTTAAGCAGTCTTCTGAGATCATCAAAATGCCGGTGCTCTGACAAAACTCCATCTTCACTATGTTTCATATATTGACCTCTAGACTCCCCAGACGAATGTTACAAGTATGAGCTTGACAGGAAATTAAATTTAAGCTAACATACAAATCATGATGTTTTCCCAAGCTCATCTCTCTTACTCAAGCTGAAACATGATTTGCTTCAGTGGTGAGCACAGCTAATCAGCAGTCTGGGAATACTAAGTAGGCTAAATCCCCATTCACTGTGGGTCTTTGATTAGATTCTTCCTAACCATGGGGCTACAGCATACTGGAGCCCTACCTGCAGTCTCAATAAATAATTTTATTAGACTGATTATACTGGGGGCCTTTGAAACCACCAATTGCTTTGCCTAGGGATCTGTAACCATAACAGTAATAACAGCAATTAATTATTTTCTGAAGAGACAAGGCCCAGTTAATCTCTAGTTTTAATTTTGTTAACTCAGTAAGTTTTGAGCTGTAAGGGTGACACTGACCCTAACTGTTTAAAGTGAAGTAATGCAGTTAAGACAAAAGGTTTTTATAATGCATTAATATATAACATGCAAAACAACAGGCAGAGAGGACCTCTGCAAGTGAACATCTGCTAAAATAATCCATTGCCAGGATGCACAGCTAAGCAGTTCTAGTACCTATATGGATGAAGTGACCCAAATCTGAGGTGTGCAAGACTTCAAGTGATGCAAAGAGAAAATCTTTATATAGGGGGCATAGTGGAACTTTACCAACTGCTGCGAGCAATATCTCAAATCCAAACCAGACCCTTGGAAAACTCAGATGCAAATCTAGGCTGTAGCCCTGTGAATGGGCTCACACACTGGGCAGAGGAGCAGTAGCCTGTATACAGCTGTGCTGTGTTATATCATGTATCATATCATATCATATCAGTGTCTGTATCTCCTTCTGTTTCACAAAATGACCAAAAGCAACGCTCAGTTCTCTGGATTTGCAGTGCAGTACATTTATACATATTTCATACACACACCCCCAAGGCTTCCCATGAGTTCAGTGGGAGTACAAATGTGAGCAAGCACTAGCAGAGGACAAAGCGAGCTGGCACACGCTGCTCTGTCATGTACTGGTTCTTCAAAATGCCCTTTCATGTCTTTGCTGCGACACCACAGCCTGGCCATTATTAACCACCCGATCTATGTTGCATGTCAGCTGCCAAGGCGGAAATAAAGTAAAACATACATTGTCCCATACACACAATTCTTGTTTAACACCACTCCTTAAAAACTAGACTTTGGATAATGAGAAATTATAGGAGAAGCAGCCATCCAGCAAACTTCTTGCAAGACAGACATGAAAGTGTGGGGCCTTCAGAAGAGCTTGGTAAGACTACATCACTTTTCTTTGCCCAGTTTAGCCATTGAAAGAGAAAATGGATGTAACTGTATAATTCCAAACAGTAGAAAACCTGAAAGGTACAAATGAAAGCAAGATTCCTTTCAGAGAAGAGGGAAAAAAGAAGCAGGTCAAATCAACACACACACACACGAAGTCAAGCCCTCCATTTTCTGTACAGGACTGAGCATGGTTGCCTGGGTGAAGACATGTCAGTAAGTTAGCTAACATTGGCTATTGCAGAAGGAACAGTCAAGGCAGCACAGACCTTCCCAAAACATTTAAGATCTCATAAACAATGCAGAATGGACAGAGAGTGTATCAGTAAAATTGGTTACTTGCCTATGGATGTCCATACATGCGACTATACAGTGGTTATTGCAACAGTTACCAAGCAATTTGTTTCCACATATTTGGTTAACAATGAATGGCATGCCAGAAACTTCTTTTAGTCTAACAAGGATGAATCTAATGGACGAATTACAGTGGGCCGAGTTGGTGAAGGGGGTGGTCTTCGACTGGAGAGAAAGAGAGAAGAAACAATAAGCACAAACACTAAGAACAAACCTAGCACCTTTTGCTCTCGCTACATGAACATTCACATGCTCCTAAACATAGTGTTATTTCCATGTACACTGAAGCATGATAGCCCTAAGCATCCATAACAAGGAAGAAAGCAACGGGTTAGCCACATGCCTATCATGCCTTAGCCCTCTCATGCATCAAACAGCTCCTCTCTCTGGTCCACAGCCTGGGAGTTCTCTGAACCGTTACATTCTTGTGTTGTGGACACCATCAAGGGAAGATCAATAGTCCTGTTTTCTCAGGGGTCAGTCCGAGCCTGGACAGCCACAGAGCAGTTTTAACATTTCAGAGTGGCTGGCTGGATTCTGGAAGAAAGCCCACAGCAACTCCAGCTGCTCTTTGCAGAAGCAGAAAAACCTGCAGCTTCTTGCACAGTTGGACCAATTGGAGCCAAGCCAATGTGTCTGAATTTGAGGCACAAATTTTAAGCTTTATAGCAGTGGCCAGCTGGCATTATGAAAATGCCAGTTTTGGCTGTGGGTTCCTTCATTAACCACTAATGCATTCCTCTATCAACTTCAGTAACTAAGGGAGTCCCAGAATCTTTTCAGAAGGCGTATGAGTCTTTATTCCCCTTTGCCAAATGGCCGATTCAGCATAGGCTCCAGGGTACTGAAAACCCCTGCATTTCAATTTGGACTCCATCATCATTTGGTAAGAGACCACACTGCGAGAGCTAGAAGCAGCACGATCCTTGAGCACGTTCCACCTGCAGTCCAGGCTGAGACCTTCCCCTCCCTCGCTCTGTCCAAGGGGGTTGTAGATTGATTTTCCCTGGTAGCTATGAAATTGCCTTTTACATTTTTGTGTGTATTTAGGGAACCTGGTTCACATCAGTGCTGTGTGGAGATAACTCCATCATCATAGTTACAAAGACTGCTTTATTAACATTCGATTCCACCTGGGCTAAAACACCCCACTGCTGACCAAAGCCTGTGCAGAATCTGAGATGACAATGCCTGTTTGGACTCCAGCGCCTGCACTAGCTCAAACAGTTCTGCCCAGCACTGCTTTGTGCTGTATAAATATACCTAAGAGACTGTTCTTCACAGCCAGACTGCTCCTTTAGCTAGCTATCCAGCACCCTCTTGCAGGGTTTTGTTGTGCAATTATTCCAATCTATCTCTTAGAGTGCTTTTGTTCCCCATTTTCTTTAATGGGAAGTGCCAGCTCTTGCTTTATTCCTTAACCCAGCCCAGATCACCACGAGAGTGCACAGCTGCTCTAAGAGAGGCATGAACTGGGGTCTAAACAAAATAGAGAGCTGAGAGCTCTTAATTTCTTGTCCAGCTTCAGCAGACTACATTAATGGCCAAGACAAATTGTACAGCCCCCTCTAATGCTGTCCTCCACCTGTGAAAGTAGGAACAGTTCCTGTCCCTGAAGAAGAGCATAAAGGAAATGTGTCTCATTCTGTTGAAGCTAAATAGAAGATGAAAAGAATATAACAATGTGTTAATCATCTTTGAACTGAACATAATATATAAGACAAATTTACACTTGCCAAAAGCATTTTTCTTGGCTCAAAGTGCATTTTGTACAATATTCTCTGTTGGTGAAGAAAAGAGAATTTTAATCCCTACCATACAACAAATACAAAATATGCCAACTGAAGCATTCAAGTAAATCAACAAGCTAAAAAAATAGGCAAAGTATAATTTCTTCATGATGTATTTTTCTTACAGAGAAAATGTTACTCTGTAAACTATTGTTTCCTGTGTTGCCCCAGTGTAGGTCTTCTGGACCCATTTCCAAAATTTGTAGTTTCATAAAGAACCACTTCTAAGGCTCTGCATTTCTGCTGGGTTGCATTAAATTATTCCTTTGTTGAAATGCCTCACATTGCATTGCTTAGCGCTTACTGAAAACATTGTATCATGTGTATACAATTTACAAACAAGGGAAAATGCATACAGCTGTCTTCATATCAAATTTAAAAGATATGAGCCCAAGCATGCATTTTACCAGGTTAAATGCAGCACACTGGATTCAAATAATGTAATTTAGTCAAACAGCTATTTAGCCCAGCAGGATCAGAAACTGGAGAGCACAGTGTGAGCATTTCCTGGTTATAATCAGTCAAACCAAACCTGAACCAAAATCAGGTCTGAGCCCCATTTCCTCCTTGAACCAGCGCTGCTGTTGCACTGCGACCACTATTCTGAACAGAAGAGTTCCCCAGCAGGCTCTCATTTCCACTCCACAGTACCACTTCGGGGGGTAGCTGATAACCCCCTGGGGGCCCTCTCTGAGGAGAAGCTGCTGCCACTGCAAGGGCCTGGGGTGCAGAACCACCCTGCAGCCTTTCCCTTTCCCCATGCAGCAGGCAGAGCTGGGCCAGCCCTGTTCTCCCCGTGGCACTGCCCAACAGGCAGGTCTGCCTAGCGAGGGGACCCCTCAGTCCAAGCTCTTCCCCACCACTTCACACTGTGAGCCAGCCTTCTGTTGGAGATGCACACGTGTACCTGGGATACTCTGCATACATGTGATTGTGTATCTTCCCAGTAGGTTTGGGCAAGAATGTACAGGAGGAATGGGCAGACCCCTCCTCAGCGCCAGTCCCCCTCCTCTGCCCTCTTAGGTGTGCTGCTAGCTTCCATGCAGTTGCACGCTATTTCTTTCTAGCTCCTTAACCCAGCACAGCATGACTAGGTGAGCACGACCTCTACCTGGAGACAAAGGTGCCTTCCAGAGGAGTGGCTGATGGAAAAGGCAGCACTTGAGTAAAGACCTGCAAAAGCACCATTCGCCTCCAGTCCTGCTGCTGAGTCTCCAAGGCTGTCTTCAGTTTCTCGTGCTGGTAATGCAGGAAAAGGAGCCATGCTCTCGAGTCCATGATAAGAGCACAGCACAGGGGCTCAGCTTGGGCAAGAGACCTCACCTTCATTAGCCACCAGCAGGTATCAACCAGCATCAACTGGGATGAGCAGAAGCTCAAGTCAAACTGAAGGACAAGCCTGTCACTCGATTTCCCTGTCAAGGTGACAGGTCATTATGTGACTATTTTTAGCAGCCAGACTTTTTTTTTTTCTTTCCCTAACAGGAATCTCAACCCCAAAGACAAGAGGAGAGATCAATCAACGCACCTCCTGCCTCTCCCCTCCTTTATGTCTCGACCGGCGGCTGGGAGTGCAAGTGCTCCCTGCGATGAAGATGTGCAGCAGCCTGGGCACCAAAACGGCCTCCTTGAGCTAGCACAGCCGGCAGCCAGCACCGGACTGCTCCTTGCAGATGTAGTCCCACCTTCCTCACTATCCCGGGCATCTCCGAAAAATGCAGAGCCGAGGGAAGCCCAGCGTGATTTCGGCACCATTGCTTTCTGAACAAAGGTTACGTAAATGAACGCTGCCAGACCCTCCAAACGTGCGGTAACGCGGAGCAAGTGGGCAGGAATCTGGGAGAACAGAGCGGCAGGGGGAGCTCCAGCCTGCCTGTGGACGGGAGCGAGGGAAAACCAAGGAAAAACAACCTCCCCCAGATCCCTGCTCCGCACTGGCTGCCATGTCAGTGAGTAAATATGTGACTAAAACCTAATTACATGTTTAGTCTGAGGCCAGCAGATGATAGCGGTAGAGATGGTGGTTTTCTGTGTGTTATCGGACTGATTCTGACAGCCGCGGGTGCGTTTGCGGTGCTGAGCTGTTACCAGCCCCCCAAAGACGGCTCCTAGTTCATAGAAAGCTCCTTATAAAAATGTCAGTGCTGTGGTAATTCCAGTTTGGTTATTGTCTCCGACATTTCAGCTGGACTTTCAAGTTTGGGGGCTGAGTCCTGCTGCCAGGCCTCTTGTAATGGGCAGCTCTGTTGCGGTTTGTCATTTTGGGGGGGTTGGGGTGGGCTTTTTGTGAGTTTGGTTTGTTGATGTTGTCTTTTTTCTTTCTTTTTCTTTTTTTTTTTTTTTTAAGAAAAAGGGAAACAGTGTTTGTAAAAGTTAGTGCTAAAGGGGCAGGGGATCACAGGTCCCCAGGGTTGAGTAAACGAGTCTGCAGAAAGAATCAGTGCTTCTAACCTAGCACACTTTAAGCAGACATAAAGAATTTACCAATGAAAATTGTGGACTAAGTATGTATTTAATAACTCCCTGATGTTGTTGCAGAGACTCCTCCTTTGAAGAGCTCAGTGGGGTTTTGAACAGAGGGTAACTCTTACCCTATGCAAAAACTTTTTTCAAAAGGAGAAGTTTTACATTTATTTTTAACCCAAGCAGCACACTCTATTTTTCCAGTTTTAAAAGAACTCCAAAATCTTTAACTAGGCAAATGCAGAGCAAACGAACCTAAATAAAGTAAGTCTAGACTTAAAATTTGATCAGAAGCATACGGGAACTCTTCAAGCGTTTGCCTTTTGAGAAGGGCTATCGCTCCCCACACAGAGTCCACAAAATATGCTTTCAGTAAAGCATGGCTGTAATTACTACGGGAGGCCCCGCTCAAAGAAGATGGCTTCTCTTCTCGGAGCGCAGCTAACGTACTTATAAATAAAAGGCTTTTATTTCCACTTCATTTTACATTCTTGTGTGCTTGTGACCACCAGAGAACACTTGTGGAAGGCATGCATATAACTGTATTTTACAATATATCCTATAGACCTGAAATTGTAAACAAAAGCCCATTATTCTCTCCGTTTTCCATGATCTTCGTTTCCCTATAATGCAGCCCTGTCGGAGTACCCTGATACACGACATCGTCTTTGCAGAATTTAATGAGAAAATAGTTAAACAAAATCTTAAGCAGCTTTAAGTGTGACTGCAGACAAATTTTATTTTAAGTGACAATACAAATGTAGGTGTGATGCTTACAATAAGATAAAAGAGTGACTTCAGGTGAGGATTAAATACAGTTTCTTGTTTAGGTGACTATTTAGAGACATTAGATAGCTGGTTCTTGGGATAGTTGTAATGCCTTATTTTATTTTTATACAGTTTTCCCTGTTT